TTTTATGAATACGCCTATTCGGCTGGGCTATACATAGTTGTAATATTAAAAATTCATTGATTCCGATCGTTGGCCTCATTCCAAAGGAGAATTTTTGAAATTTTATGAAAGAACATATTGACCTCTGATTCTTGAGTGGGATAAAATTCGAAGACGATTTATGTTCATATGTAAAATCGGTTTAGATTCCCATATAGCCCCTATATATATTTCCGGCCGATTTCATCTAAATGATGCACTAAATACCCAATGTTTGTCCGATTGATATGAATTGAGTTTAGAATGACCTGTGTAGAGTGTTGTTGGAATCGGTTTAGATTTAGATATATTAGGTTGGGGAAAAAGAAATACATCGGTCGGTCGTCGAAAATGCCAATAAAATCGGAGAAATGGTCGAAATTAAACGGCATGGAAGCAGCCAAGGAGCTAAAAATCGACCATAAAACTGTTTTAAACCATTTAAATTCAAAAAGAAGAATGTTTGGAAAGTAGTAAAGTTGGACTGGGCCGACTATATGATACCCTTCACCACTTTGGGTATATTCTACATATGTATCCTTACAATTTGAAGAACCTTGAAGGAACCTACTCATATCTTTTTGCAACCTATGATACATTTCATTTCAATCGGGCATATTTAGAGTCGTCTGCGTGCCATAGGAAAAATTTATTTAAAACGATTTATAGCAAAATTGAAACACGCTATTCTGTTAAAAATTTAATTTCAATCAAACACCCGTTCGAAATACATATGGTAGCTATGGCTGCACCTGCACCAATTTCAACAAAACCGAATACGTAATTCAAGTGTCAATTTGATACGTTGTGCAAAATTTCGTGTTAATCGGACAAACATTAGGAGTCTGGTGCATCATTTAGGTAAATCCGACGAATATATATGTAAATTTCGTGCAAATCCAAGGATATAACGGGACTTTGGTGCACCATTTACACCAAATCTGACGAAAATGTATATGGGAGCTATATCTAAATCTGAACCTATTTTCACGAAACTTACTAATCATCATTCTAGACTCAATTCATTACGTTATGCCAAATTTCGTGCAAATCGAAAGATACCTAGAGACTTTGGTGCACCATTTACCTTTAATCGGACGAAAATATATATGGGAGCTATATCGTAATCTCAACCGATTTTTCCCAATTTCAATAGGGTTCGTATTTGGGCCAAATAAATGAGCTGTACCCAATTTCACCCAAAGCGAATTATAAATGCGACATGTACTTTGTTTACAATTTAACATCAACAGACGGACGGGCGGCGGACGAACGGATGGACATGCATAAATCGACTCAGAAAGTGATTCTATGCATATTCTCAAAAGGAAGTATGCGTCTATTTGCCTTGTGCCTGTTACAAACATATGCACAAAGACATAATACCCTGTACCACAGTGTGGTAAAGGGTATAACCAGTGATCGGAGCAGTATAGCCGGACGGGGCCGACCATATGATACCCTACACAACTACCACGGAACTCTAACTTTCTGCGAATGTTTATTCCGAGCCCGGGCAATATTTCGTGCCCGTGCCCTATTGCCCGATTAGAGAAACACAAAAAATTAAGTTTTCGGTACACTTCATCCCAACATTATTATCAGATCATATAAATTATAGGCGTTGTTCGATTAGATCTTCCTTATTTTCCGAATATTACTAATAATTAGTACAACGCTTCTAATTACTTCTACAGATTCCCATCACCGTGGGTTGTGTTGTTATGTTCGGCTTTTAATTGTGGCCTATGGGTCGAATCGAAAAAAAAACACAAAAAAATAAGTTTTCGGTACACTTCATCCCAACATTTTTATCAGATCATCAACGAAAACTATAGGTGTTGTCCTTGACCATAACTGGAACCTCATGGAACATTTCAAAGCGATCAGCGCTATATTTCCGCCCTCTGGTGGAAGCTATACTACCCTGACAACATAGATGTGTAAGGTATAAAAACTAAACTTTCTCGGTCCGTAATATTCTCGCCAATAGCTTTCAGCCACAAAAGGAATTTCCCACACCCAGACCATGAGCTCAATGTTGTCGCATAGTGAAATCATGGATAGAAAAATGTCAGAAATAGTACTCCACAGCTGTGGTGATGATTCATTAGTGCAGGAAGTTAAAGAGTACCCATATTTTCCTCATAGTTTAATGGACAGATGGAAATGGAAATACTTAAAGGGTAGGGTGATATGCATAAATTGATGATCTCTGTATAGAATATTTCTCCAGTAAAATTCGTAATTTAAAAAAAAATCCTCTTTTTCGAACTTTGAACTATTTCGTAAAGCATTTATTCGAATTTACATTTTCATTACTTTTTATTTTGTTTTCTTGTGCTTTTCTTTCTTTGCAGACACCTTTAATATTGAAAATCAAAACAATGAATAGCGAATTATTTCTGAACACCTTGAAGTACTATTTGAATACAGTGGGCTGGACAGCGATGGCGGCGTCATCGGCATTTTATTGTATTTGTTTATTTAGGTAAGTAATAAAATTGAAAAAATAATGAAAATTAAAATCGGTATCGAAGACACTCCCCCTTCAGATGAATGTGGGTTATTATTAGACCTCGGATTTTGCATATTTGCATATTTTTTAATAATGAAGATATCGAAATTCTGATTGGACACAAATTCGTTTCAAAGGATTTAGAATTATTTGAAGGGTTCATATTTTTTAATTTTTTGCATATTTGCATATTTTGCATATGCACGAGATATGCAAAAAATATGCAAAATATGCAAAAAATATGCAAAATATGCAAAAAATATGCAAAATATGCAAAATATATGCAAAATATGCAAAAAATATGCAAAATATGCAAAATATATGCAAAATATGCAAAAAATATGCAAAATATGCTAGGTCGATATGCAATAAATATGCAAAATATATGCATAAAATATGCAAAATATAGGCCAAATATGCAAAAATATGCAAAATATATGCTAAAATATGCAAAATATGCAAAAAATATGCAAAATATGCAAACATGCAAAATATGCAAACATATGCAAAAATATGCAAAATATGCAAAATATATGCACAATATGCAAACATATGCAAAATATGCAAAAATATGCAAAATATGCAAACATATGCAAAAATATGCAAAATATGCAAAAATATGCAAAAATATGCAAAATATATGCAAAATATGCAAAATATATGCAAAATATGCAAACATATGCAAAATATGCAAAAATATGCAAAATATATGCAAAATATGCAAAAAAATATGCCCGGTGTGCTAGGTCGATATGCGAGAAATATTCAAAAAATATGAAAAATATTGGCAAAAATATGCAAAATATGAGCAACATATTTCACATAAGCAATTATTTTAATCAAAAAAAAAAAAAAAAAAAAAAAAAACAAAAAAAAAAAAAATTTTTCATGGTAGTTTTCGAATTTGTGTGCTTTCTTTATTTTTAACCTATAGAAATCTAATTTTGTATGTATGCGTTTCATGGTTCAACTGTTAGATTTTTGGGGCATTATGAAAAATTTGCTAAATATATGTATAAAACATGCAAACATATTTAACCATTATATGGCGATATACTAAAACGTGGACCGATATATCCCATTTCCAATACCAAACATCCTAGGAGTAATAATAATATATGTGCAAAATTTCAAAGTTCTATCTTTAATAGTGCGACCTAGCATACCGTGCATATTTTTTGCATAATTTGCATATTTCGCATATATTTTGCATATTTTTTGCATATATTTTGCATATTTTTTGCATATATTTTGCATATTTTTTGCATATATTTCGCATATTTTTGCATATTTTGCATATTTTTGCATATTTTTCATATTTTTGCATATTTTGCATATCGACAATGCATATTTTGTATATTTTTTGCATATATTTAACGCATATCGACCTAGCATACCGTGCATATTTTTTGCATATTTTGCATATTTTTGCATATTTTGCATATTTTTGCATATATTTTGCATATTTTGCATATGTTTGCATATTTTTGCATATGTTTGCATATTTTGCATATATTTTGCATATTTTGCATATTTTTGCATATGTTTGCATATTTTGCATATGTTTGCATATTTTTGCATATTTTGCATATGTTTGCATATTTTGCATATTTCGCATATTTTTGCATATTTTGCATATCGACAATGCATATTTTGTATATTTTTTGCATATATTTAACGCATATCGACCTAGCATACCGTGCATATTTTTTGCATATTTTGCATATTTTTTTGCATATTTTGCATATTTTTTGCATATTTTGCATATTTTTTGCATATTTTGCATATTTTTTGCATATTTTGCATATTTTTTGCATATTTTGCATATTTTTTGCATATATTTTGCATATTTTTTGCATATATTTTGCATATTTTTTGCATATTTTTTGCATATTTTTGACATGACCCCAAATATCGATCAATTAAAGCATGAAACGCATAAATACAAAATTTGAGTCCAATCGGATAAAGCATAAAAAATATGCAAAAATCCGAGGTCTAGTTATTATATGTCCACTAGGGGACCTAATGACCGTTTTTTTAACTAAATACTTTCAAACTTTAGATTTTAAATTAATGGTCTGTTCCAGTACTTTTTTAATAGTAAATCTAGTAAAAGGGAAACATTTCAAAATTGCTCTCAGAGTACAAAATAATTTGAAAAGTTCGGGAACGCAAATCTAGTAAATGTGCCAAAATTAGATAGCAATACTTCAAAATCAACATAACAGCCAATCAGAAGCATTCCTGTTTACCATTTTTACTCGGCCAAATTTATCGAGTAAAAAGTTTTCAAAGAGAACGCCATTTTATTTTGTGCTCTCTTAAATCTGATTCAATGTTTTACCAGTTTTAAGGGTTGAGAAACGGTTTTCGAGTAAAAAGTTGCAAAACATGTAAAATGAGTAGATTCTTTTAGGTTCTGGAACGGAACTTCAAAGTTTGTGCCGAAAAACGAGTATCGATGACTTTTGGTCGTTACAGTAGGGGGTACAAATGTTAGGCTCTTTTTTACTTATTAAAGTCCTAGTTATCTCTATGATAATTTGATTTCATATTCAAAATTCTTTTTTTTTCCTTAGGAATCAATTGGGAAGCTTTCAAAAATATACCACACTTTTCCTACCCACCGTATGCGGCATGCAATTCTGTTGGTTACTGCCGGACAAGGCGATGAAACTATTTTGTACGGCTACCTCGCAAGCGGTAAGTAATGAGACTCCAAAAAATATAACAATCACTTCAGACTTAACAACTCCCTTTAAATTCCAATACCAACACTATTTCCTAGGTCCTCGAAGGTCTCTTACAACAATTCCCGAATGTAATAACCCGCCTCCTGCTGAAATCCACACCTCTACAAACCGTTCTCTTTATGATCAATAGTGCCATCATCTTACATTTCAAACGTCTGAAAGTGTATAAAGGATTTTGGTTTATGCAGCCATATGGAATCGAAAAATCGCCCTCCTTTTCCGTTACCCATCAAGTGGGTGAGGGTGGTTTGGCAACTCTTGTCGATATAAATGCCAATATTGTGGAAAAAGATTGGAAACCACGTGCCGAATGTGTTCATGGAAAAATGAAATGTTCCAAATTTATTTTGGATGGCATAAAAGTTGGCCTCACCTGTGGCATACCCATGGATTTGCTGAATGCTCTTTTGAAGGGTGGCGTACCCAAAGGTTGCAAGGGTATACATAAGGTTTTGCTGGCCAAACTCAAACAATTTCGACCAAATATGGCGGGATTTTTCTTGCTCTATGGTGGTATATATAGGGTAAGTTATTCGAACAAATTTTCAATATTCAGACTCCATAAATATGTCTTCTTTTTCTTCCAGATCTCCTCATGTTTGTTATACAAATACTATGGTCATTTGTCTCGTGATTTGCAACACATCTTGGCTGCCTTCCTTGGTGGTGCTTCATACTTATGGGTTAATAAGGTCTCCTTCTTCACCTTGTCCACAGTTATTGCCATTCAGGCTTTGTGGCAAGAATTCTGCGATCGTATGACCACGGCCAAGAAAACCTCGAAGAATTTAGTTTTGAGACTACTGAAAGATGTGTCATTTTCCCACGTGATCTTTACCCTGAATATGGGCTATTTAATACACAACTTCATAATGAATTATGAAGTATTGAATAGTTTGACGAGAGGATTTTTGGATGGACTCAGTTCAAATCAGTAAGTATTTATTAAAAAAATAATCTACCAACAATTAGATGGGCTGTATTGAATATCAGTAATATAATGCTGGACAAGCATGGGGACTGGTGCCCTTGTTTACATGGATCAATAAGCTCGTTCTCTGCGTTCTCTTTTAGCGAGTCATTTGATATGGCCGTTTCTCATTTATTCCGAGTATTTTCTCTCTGCCCACTCCTACAGTAATATTTGTTGACCTCTAGTTGGTCAAGAGGGTGCAAATATCGCGAAATATTGTCCAAGCTAAGAATATAGAACCACATAATGTTCCTGAAAGTTGTGTAGGGTATCATATGGTCGGCCCGTCCGACTATACTGCTCCGCTCACTGGTTTTTATTGTATGGGTGTTTTTTCGATAGTCCAGGATATTTTAAAATTTTGTATTATGTTGTAGGTCACATTTGTTCCTTGAGAAAGTTCTTTTGAGTTCTCGGATTCCAAAGCAATAAGAGAAGGTCTGTAGATACCCTTGGAGCTCTATTAGCTTTAACTTTCACCGGCATTTCATTGTGATTCCCAAGGCCAGGTCTTCAACCAGTTCCTGGACCTTATGATTTTTTGAATAGGCCAGTCGCCGAAAATGTCGTTAAAATCGGAGAAATGATCGAAGTTGACCGGTATGTTAGCAGTCGTAACATCGCCCAGGAGCTAAAAATCGACCATAAAACTATTTTAAACCATTAACACAAAGCTGGATTGAAAAAGAAGGTCGATGTTTGGGTGCCACACCAATTAACAAAAAAAAATAAGATGGATCGAATTTCCGTCTGCGAAGCCTTAGCCAAACGTAATGAGATATATCCATTTATTTAACGGATGGTGATGGAGATGAGAAATGGATCACATACAATAACACTGTGCGATAACACATCTGCAGTGACTTGCCAGAAACGTCGGGAGCTTGGTTGGGACTTTATTGCATTCAAAATTTCTTTAATGATAAATAATTTGTATCTAGGAAGGATTTTGAAAATCGACTACTGGAGTTTTTTTGTAAATGGAGGGCAGGACTTCTATGAGTGAGGCATTCTGAAGTTACCTTTAAAATGGCAACAAATCATACAACAAAAAGGTGCAAATCTGATCTTCCGAAGCATGTTAAATAAAGTTCAATAGTTCATATAAAACTAATGGATTTATTTTTTTGCTCAACCTAATATATTAAAACAAACCGCGGATATCTAATTAGTAACACGATTATGAATGAGCGTAATACGTGAGTACATCAACGACTACAATTCCTTCTGAGGCTTCTTTATCAGATTTTGCAATGTTTCCCTTTTACTAGATTTACTATTAAAAAAGTACTGCAACAGGCCAAAACTGTTGAACATTCGATTGGTCGTATCAACACTTATTCGATACATTCAATTTATAATTTGTATCGAATTATTTTGGAAATTATATATGCGAATTTTTTAACACTTATGCAGAGGTCGGTAAGAGTGTATGAAATAAATAAATGCCAAAGCAGAAACACATCCGAACAATGAATCATGGTTGTGGTAGTGGTGTTTTTTTTTTTGGAAGAATACATTTGTTTTTGTGAAAGAGGGAGAGAGAGGAGAATGAGCGTAAATAAAACGGTGTTGGAAAATATTTCTGAAATTAATGAAATGTTTTGGAAAAAATTGCGACTTTCTCATGATTATATGAGTTTTTATATGTATTCAATGAAAAACTAACAATGAATATGCCCTCAAGTTGTCGGTATATTTCAGATGGTTAGATATTGCTCTTATATAACGGTTATAATCTTTCTGTAGAAAATGGTCGGTAGAATGAATTTTCCAAACGATACTTTGGATTCTGTTTGGGTAGCCAATTTCCCTATCAAAATTATTGAATGATGGTTAGATATTCCTCCCATATAACGATTATAATCTTTGAGTAGAAAATTGTCGATAGGATCAAATTTTCTGGTTTGCCAATTTTTTTTACCAATCTATGCCGTTTTGAATTTTTTGAAAACTACTTAAAAACTAATTTCAATTTCTCTATATTATTTCAGAACAAGAATTATCCGTGATAGAATAACAAAGAGCAGCATGGAAGAACTTATGGCCATGGCAAATACAAATGCGGTGAAAACGTTTCTTTAAATTGTAAAATACAATTAGTTATAAGGAAAAAATATTAAATATTCTTATTATAGATATATTATAAGGAGTTATATATTACAAACCGAACAATAAATGTTATATAAGATTTGTAAATATTTTTATTAAAACACATAATTGATTTTTTTTTGTACATTATCTGGCTATAGAATTATGAAGTAATGACCCCTTATAATTGTTATACCCTTCAGGGTATTTTGTATTTGTACAAAAGGAAACGAGACAGATCCATAGTTCCTTCTGAGAATATGCATAGAATCACTTTCTGAGTCGATTAATGCATGTTCATCTGTTGATGTTAAATTTTAAACAAAGTACTAGTCGCATTTATAAACCGATTTGGATGAAATTTGGGCCCATTTATTTGGGCCAATGACGAACCCTATTGAAATTGGTGAAAATCGGTTCAGATATATTTATACCTCCCATATATATTTTCGTCCGATTTTATGTAAATGGTGCACTAAAGCCCCTTCATTCCACTTGAGCTGTACGAAATTTTGCATAGCGTACTGAATTAAGACTAGAATGATGTGTGCAAAGTTTCGTGAAAATCGATTCAGATTTAGATATAGCTCCCATATATATTTTCGTCCGATTTAACCCAAATTATGCTCCAAAGTCCCTAAATATCTTTCGATTTACACGAAATTGGGTATAGCGCACTAAATTAAGTCTATAATGATGTGTGTTAAGTTTCGTCAAAATAGGTTCAGATTTAGATATAGCTCCCATATATATTTTCGTCCGATTTAAGGTAAATGATGCTCCAAAGTCCCTAAAGATCTTTCGATTTGTACGAAATCTGGCATAGCGTACTGAATTGAGTCTATAATGCTGTGTGTTAAGTTTCGTCAAAATCGGTTCAGATTTAGATATAGCTCCCATATATATTTTCGTCCGATTTTATGTAAATGGTGCACTAAAGCCCCTATATTCCTCTTGAGTTGCACGAAACTTGGCATAGCGTACTGAATTGAGCCTAGAATGATGTGTGCTAAGTTTCGTAAAAATCGGTTCAGATTTGGATGTAGCTGCGATTTCCGTCCGGTTTGTAGTAAATTGTGCACTAAAGATCCAAATTTTGAAGTTATTACAGCCTTACGTGTGTTCAGTTTTGTGGAAATCGTTTCAGATATACATATAGCTCCCATATATGTTTTCGTCACATATTTAAGTCCATTCAATTTCATGAAAATGCTCCATCGAAAAGGCGACGTTTGTTAGGATACATATGTAGAATATACCCATATAGTCGGCCCAGTCCGACTTTACTACCTTTCTTACTGATTGTCAATTAGTTTAGGGTAGCCCCAATATAATATGCCATTTTTTTGGGTTCATCTTTGGGTAGAAAATCGATGTACCAAAAATTATCAGTACTTATCCATCAGGATAGCTTCCATATAACGATACTGCCCATTTTTCGGTCTTTTGGAGATAAAGGCACGTTTTCAACCAAAATTGAGTTCTCATTTGGTATCAAATCTGCATTTTTGGTTCGTTCAAGGCCCACCATAATTTTATAACTTGACTGCATTTTTTAATGTCAACCTCAAGTTGGAGGGTATACAAATTTTGACCCTACCGAACTTAACGGCATTTAGATTAGGCGAGTTTACTTATCGTCCTTTTTTGAACTTGCTTCATGCGTCTATACAAGGCAATTCGGTTTCAAAAATATTTTTTTTTACATTTGGTGAATGTTCGCCTTACCCCTATCTCCAACAAACAAAGACTTGCGGCAAGTAAACTCGTCTAATCTAAATTGGGACTTATATCTTATTTTACCTTGTTTTTTTATGTTATGTTATGGACTTAGGCTAAAATATACTGTAAACCTAATTCCATTATTACCTATTTTGTTTTGCTCTACCTCATCGGCAAACATCACTGAACAGTTTGATACATCACAAATGTCATTAAGCATTGACAATTCGAGCTTAGAGCAGTATCATTATAATTTTCATTATAACAAGTTAAGAAAGAGAATTAAGAAAAACAATCATATGGACCACCAAATGATCTATGTAAAAATAAATGTAATGTTAATTGTCTATAATATTATTGTTGGATCTATAAAGGGTAAGCTTAATAAAAAATCGGAAAATATAAACCCCTTATAACCATTAAAAAATATTCATAGCTTTGGACACCCCTCCGGTTTATCATTATCAATATCAAACCACCAGACTTACCATACAAAAAGAATGGCCAATTAAACCACCCGGAGATCTGATCGATAATCATGGAAACGAAGCTAATAAACACCACAAACATCCGACCTCTTCAACACAACTTCCGGAAGATCCGGATCAACAACATCGTCTTTATCCACCCAACAAAGCGGCAACGGGGACATTTTACATATCCCCCATGCCGGTTAATATTTTTAAATCTCCTCAACAAATGTCAGCAACAGCTGTTGCAACAACTACCAAACCAAAAACCCTAGCCACCAGTACCAATAAACCTCCACATCCATTGACATTTTTCCTGAATAAATTACCCACAGATGGTGAGGAAAGTTCGGGGGGTAATTTACAACCAGTAAATCCTGCACCAATGCTTAAACCCAATCCCTTTGCCAATCATCAGGGTCAACAGATACAATTTGCCACAAAGACGGGTGGCCATATTGTTGCACCGAATGGTAATATTTTCAAAGGTCCACCGCTGCGTCGTGAAGAGGGTGCATTTTGTAAGCGGAGTTTTGATGGTCGCAGTGGTTATTGCATTTTGGCATATCAGTGTTTGCATGTCATCCGAGAATATCGTTTACATGGCACAAAAATTGATGTGTGCACCTATAGGCGTAATATACCGGTTATTTGTTGTCCTCTGGCCGATAAACATATTGATGATCAGAGGATAAGTGCGCAAAGTAAGTTCGGCTAGGTTCTTAGCTTGAAAACATTTTTTTAAAACCCACGCCTAGGTTCTTAGCTTGAAAAATTATTCTTAAAAAAATCCTCTGAATCCCTCTTTCTCTTCCAGAATGTCAAGAATACCATGATGAAGTAAGAGGTATACGACTAGGCTTGCCAAGAGTACTATCCGGTAAAATGTGTGTATCCAGTGTTCCGCTAATTGTTGGAGGTCAAGTTACACGAAGTGAGGATTATCCTCATATGGTAAGGAATACTTCAGAATTTTAGACCAAGAAATTAATTTGGTGCACATCTTTTAGGCTGCCTTGGGTTGGACCCAAAGTGACAAGGAGTTGAAATGGGGATGTGGCGGTACCTTAATAAATGAGCGATTTGTATTGACAGCGGCCCATTGTGCAACATCTGGAGGGTAAGTTCCACAAATATAGACAACCAAATCAAAATCCGAATTTTTTTTTTGATTTTCCTCCACTTCACAGAAGACCACCGGATATGGTTCGCCTGGGCAGTCGTAACCTCAATGAAACCTCCAAACATCAAATGGATATCAAAATTTTGGTTATTATTCTCCATCCGAAATATCGTTCCTCATCCTATTATCATGACATAGCCCTGCTGAAGTTGACCCGAGATGTTGAATTTTCCGAAACCATACAACCGGCTTGCTTGTGGCAACAACCTGATATGGATATGTCATTGGGCATTGCAACCGGTTGGGGTCGTACCGAATTTATGGGTCCCAAATCAAATGATTTACAGAAAGTCGATTTAAATATTATCGATCAGAAAATCTGCAAAGATATTTATCGTAAGGAGCGGCGTCTGCCTCGCGGTATTATTGAGGGTCAATTTTGTGCCGGCCACTTGGAAGGTGGCAAGGACACATGCCAAGGAGATTCTGGAGGACCCTTACACGTGGAATTGCCCGAATTCAATTGTGTGAAATTTGTCATTGGCATTACATCGTTTGGTAAATTTTGTGCGGCTCCCAATGCCCCCGGAGTATATACGAAAATTTATACCTATTTAGATTGGATTGAAAAGATCGCATTTCGTAATGGAATTTAAAGAAACATCTTCACCCCTTTTCCTGCCCTCTGTTGACTGTGTATAACCCTGCCTGTAATTTAAGAATATTTAATTTTATTTTTATTAATTTTTAAAATAGTTTGACAAAATATATGTAGGTATGTATAAGTTCCGAAGAGATCCGCATCTTCTTTCATTTCCATACTTGATTTTCTATCCACTCGATGAAAGCAGATATCCGGGTATAAATACTGGGTATGCCAGTGGCACAGCCATCACCAAAGGATGTCAAGCCCACAACATAGGGAACATAGGTTTGATATTTGAACACATTTAAAAGCAATGGGCCACCGGAGTCACCCTGTAACAAAAACACGAAAATAAAACTCAGTTTTCTATAGATATCCGCTCTTCGAAAATTACCTGACAAGTATCCATTTTCCCATTGGGATCTCCAGCACAGATTTGCCCCGCATCTAGGCCACTGGGTAATTTATCAGCTTTGTCATAATGCGATTTACAATTTTCATTTGTTAGGACATTTAGGCGAACCTTTAGCAAACGATCTGACGTAGGTCCAGCTGTAAAAAAAATCGGAATTAAATATTTTTCAAGTGGGTGTACATTAAGGGGAACTCACCAAATTTTGTTTGGCCATAGCCAATGGCCGTCACCACTTCTTGGGGTAGTCCCTCATTAGGCCAGAGGCATGAAGGACGGATCCTAAAATAGTAAACAATTGAATTAAAACTTATTTCTAACTAAGGAAATTTTTTTAAATCCACACCTTTGATATTACTTGAAAAATTATTTTTAAATAAAAATCCACACCGTTGATATTACTTGAAAAAAAAAACAAAATATTTAGAAAACCTTACCTTGAACGTTTTTCCAATTTAACCACGGCTATATCATTGTAGGCATAATTCGAATCATAGTCCGGATGTTGGATAATACGTCGAATTCGTATCATTTCATCATCACGTCCATTCAAATCTCCACCACCAAGGCGGACAATTTTTGGGGACTCGCTATAAAAAAAAAACAGAAAATAAATATTTTCCGAATGAAAGTAAAAAAATCGCTCCATACCCCCCGAAATCGGCACAGTGGGCTACTGTCAAAACATATTTCGGAGCAATTAACACACAACCACAATGATATCGAATTTCCGAACGTCTGGATGAAGATTGACGCCAACCAAGAGCACACTAAAAAAACAACAAATAGGAATAAAATTTTTATCACATCTATTTTCAGAGACCTAGCTAGGTTAATTCTAAATACCATATAGGGAAATTCATTCTTATGAGCGGCTATACCACCAACCACCTCTGTATCTTGAACTTTTTTCTTTATAATAATTTCATCGTGTGTAGGTGGTTCATTTACTTCATCGTTTTCTACTTGCGAGCTGTTATTATTGGAGGATCTTCTTGATCTATGACGACGGCGATGAGAACGTGAATAAGGGTTGTATATGGCTTCGCATTCTAAGGAAAAAGAATTGGGTTAAAATTCGCAATAATTTTAGAACAAAGCTCAAAAAAAAAAAGAAAATATGTAAAGAAAAAAATCAACATTGGATTTCGGAGGTTAAAACCCTTGCTCCGATGTTTGTACCCTGTGGTACAGGGTATTATGTCTTTGTGCGTAGTAAACGAGATAGACCATAGTTCCTTTTGAGAATATAGAATCACTTTCTGAGTCGATTTATGCATGTCCGTCTGTCCATGTATTTTTGTGAACAAAGTACAGGTCACATTTATAATCCGAATTGAATGAAATTTGTCACAGCTCTTTTATTTGGCCCAAGGACGAAAAATATTGAAATTGGGAAAAATCGGTTCAGATTAAGATATAGCTCCCATATATATGTTCGTCCGATTTAATGTAAATGATGCACCAATGTCCCTATATATCTTTCGATTTGCACGAAATTTGGCATAGCGTACTGAATTGAGCGTAAAATTATTTCTGCCAAGTTTCGTGAAAATCGGTCCAGATTTAGATATAACTCCCATATACAGTTTCGTCCGATTTAATGTAAATGGTGCACCAATGTCCCTATTAATCTTTCGATTTGCACGAAATTTGGCATAACGTAGTGAATTGAGCCTAGAATGACGTCTGCCAAGTTTCGTGAAAATCGGTTCAGATTAAGATATAGCTCCCATATATAATTTCATCCGATTTTATGTAAATGGTGCACCAAAGTCCATATATATCTTTCGATATGCATGAAATTTGGCACAACGTACTAAATTGAGCCTAAAATGATGTCTGCCAATATTCGTGAAAATCGGTCCATATTTAGATATAGCTCCCATATATTGTTTCGTCCGATTTTATGTAAATGGTGCACAAAACTTCCTATATATCTTTCGATTTGCACGAAATTTGGCAAAACGTACTGAATTGAGCCCAGTGTAATGTCTGCCAAGATTCGTGAAATTCTTATATTGCATAGCGTACTGAATTTAGTCCAGAATGATATGTGCCAAGTTTCGTGAAAATCGGTTGAGACACATATATTATCGATTGATTTTAAGCAAGGAACCAACAATATATGGTTGATAGGAACAAAACGTACCGAAATTAGTATAACCTAACTTGTGACAAGTTTCGTTGAAATCGGTTCATATTTGGATATAGATTCCGTATATATTTTCGTCAGATGAAATTTTGCACAACATACAAAATTGAGCATAGAATAACATAGTTGCGTTTTCTAGAAGTACAGACATCGGATGTCCTATTTATATCTGTTTGAAGTCGATTTACATACATTTGTCCCATTGTAACAAACGAATGACATATTTATGGATTGATCTAAGTCGATTCACATTTAGATAACTATCACATATTTTAGATCATCCAATTTCATGTTAACAGTCCTGTTTAATATACCCATAGTGGTGAAGGGTATCATATAGTCGGCCCCGTCTTTACTACTGTCCTTACTGGTTTTATTTATTTATTTTTTTTGTTCATCTACATTTACATACCTACTTCACTTCTCCTAGTGCGAACGTTTAAGCTCATATGGGTGTTGGATAAAAATGGATGATTTTCGGCGGATTCAATAACCGTTGGCGGTTTGCGGTTTTTTGGTCCAACATATGCTTCAGGGCAGCAAACAATATTATCATAACCACTGGTATAACAATTGAATGGCATTTGTTGATAAAATTGCCAATTTTGAAGAGCACTTTGACATTTATGAAATGACCGACAATGACCCTTTAGACCTACAGAGGGCACAAAGCAATTTCCCAGCTTATCAAAGGTCATGGGCGACACTACCGGTGGAGGATAATGCCCATGGCCATGATGGCTGTGACGATGTCCTATCAAATAAAATATTAGAAATTACAAAAAAAAACATATTTTTTTTTCAAAAAAACCTACTTACCCTTAGTATTCAAAACAAATATAGAAGAATATATTAATATGGTAAACACAATTCCACGAATTGATAACATTTTATTCGTGTGATTTTGAATTCTGAATTGATTTTAGAATTCAGTGAATTGATTTTAGAATTCAGTTGTATTCAATGCCACCTAGCTCAGCTCTAATGCGTACTTCACTATCCACCGTCTCTTTGGCAAATGTGAACCCATTTCGAACCTCTTGGTATTTGTATTTCAAATTAAATTTAATTTTGATTTCAATTTAAAATACCTCTCTCCAAAAAAACTCGCATTGCTGAATTAGTCAGTTTAATGAGTGGGTATTTTAGTGTATTTCCAGAAATATAAACATTTATTTGATTTGTGGTTTAGTCGTAATTATACCATCCAGGCACTTGAAGAAAAAACGTAATTTTAGAAGAATTATTCGATGCCATTAGCCTTATTCATACTAAACTCTATTAATGATAAAATTCCATTCCACCCATACCTCACTTATAAGGATATCGTTGGATTCATTATTATAACAATAATTTTAATTTTATTAGTATTAATTAATCCTTATTTATTAGGAGATAATTTTATTTCTGCTAATTATTCACTGGAGAATCCACATCCGTCACCCGATAAAATCATGTCAGAACTCGTAGTATTTAACATGGAGATTATACATTTTTTATGCGATTTTCAAGTTTCTATATAGGCCAGGTCCTAGACAAGTTTTCCAAAATTTAACAACTTGAATTAAAAACACATGAATTAAAAACACATATAAAATCCATCCGAAGTTTGATTTTTTTAACATATTTTTAAACGAGTAAACGAGCGGCATACTTTTTCGCCGGCGTGAAAACCAAACGAAAGAGTTAGTGGCACAAAATGTCAATTATTTGCATTTCGCATTTGAATGGCGAATTTCCATGGACGTTCGAAGCTTGCCTCACTGTCGGATCTTACAATTTCCCTCTGTTTTTTTTCTTACAGTAAGTGTCCCGTAAGTTCCTCCATCTTGATTTACAAATTGTAATGATCTTCACCAGACTCTTTTTCTTCTGATTGATGCTACCATTTTTTCCGACCGTGCTTAGGGCTTGGCGGTGTTCTTATCAGAAGAAAAAAGCCGCAACCAGTTACATGAATATTTACGTTTTATTGGTAGCTAAATTTTATTATGTATATTCGCAATGATCAATGTTAGTATGAAGGAAGATCTTTGAACCTTAGGTGTTTGAGATTCGTCGGTATTAAGGATGATAATATAATTAAGATTAGGTATACGTAGTCGATTGCAAAAATCGACTTTTAGACTTTTCGATTTTTGCCTCTGACCATAAAGTCGATTTTTGCCTTTGACTAAAAAGTCAACTTTTCGATCTTTCGATTTTGTCAAAACTGTTCAAAATCGATTTTCGACTTTTACTGACTTCTGCAAAACTACGAAAAATTCGATTTTGTATATGAATTATTATGAACAGATAAGGTAAAGTTCAGGAAATTGAAATTTTTGGGCAATGTGAGCTTTGTGACAAAAAACCATTAATTTAGGAAGAGAATCGAAAGTCGATCTTGAAACGTCGACTTTACGATTTTCTCCTCGATCAAAAGTCGACTTCGACTTTTAGACTTTTCAATACAAAAAGTCGATTAATGGAATAGTCGAAAGTCGATTTATTTATCCCTAGTTAAGATAAAACTAGATTAAGGTTAACATAAAATATACTTACTATTCAAGGTTCGCGATTTAAAATCTTATTTTAAATTGTGTGTCGATGAAATATCCTTGAAGGATTTATAAATGGAAAAGTCTATAAACTACATACATAATATATCAAATTTGAAGCTGCTTCGACAATAATATTAATTAAATTGTGAGTATTGCGATTATTAAGAATATGAATAGGGTCGATTATGATGAATTTAGGATTTGTTCCATTTTGTATGATCCATGATATTTCGTTTTTTATGCTTGAGTTTCAACCAAGGCGCCATTATTTATTAAAATGCATGTCCATTTGCATCAGCTAATGGTAGTTGGTCTCGTATTTAAAAAATTTGGTAATAAGCCAATAGAAAAGAATTCCGTTGCGTTTGAAAATATATCCACAATAAAATCCTTTTAAAATTCGCATTATCCAATACAATCTAAATAATCTTAATAGCAATATGCAAATGCGAAAGTTTTCGCTTTATTATGTTTTTATCTGGTTTTATCCTTTTTTCTTTTTGATTGTGTTTTTGTAATCAGGAGATTCCAAGTTATACAAAATGTCGTATTTTTTTATTTCCTCGATCAAGTTTTCTTCCATTTTAATATTAATTCGTTAAAAATCGTCCACAATCTTTGAAATTATTTGTTTTTTTTTTTAATAAATTTCAATTGAAATGTTGGTAGCACAGCTGATTTTTACCTAAAATCTGGCAACTCAATTGAGAACAAGAGAGAAATTTTGAGTATAACGCTGAGCAAAAATGAATGAATCTATTCTAGCGTCAAGCCGCTAGACGCGAACGTCAACCAATAAGAAACACACGGCAAACGACCGTCGCTGACTCTAGATTCCCTGGTCGTGGTCTTATTGAAATATATTCTAAACGTCCAAATGGAGAACCATTTTTTTTAAAGAAAATTTAGCTCCATACTTAATTTAGTAATATTTATTTCCTTCTGTACTCGTGAAGTACTTATTTCCAAAACTAATTTCACGGTTCGAGCTCTATCGGTTCACCAAAATCGAAATTTTACCAAATTCAGTACACATAATAAAAATTTCCGAATTTGCATGATTGCAGTTCATCCAAATTTATAACCATTTAGTACATAAGCACAAATTTCCAAACACTTCCAACAATTCCCAACCTAATATTTTTTTTCGAAAGATAGGTTTTTGGTTTTAAAGTCCGGCGAATTTGGTGTGATACATAAATTTGCCTTGACTGATCACTTTTTGCATTGGAATATCTTATTTCCTTTGTGGATTTGTGGCTCTGATATGACATTCTCCAATGATCGCAGTTGGCACATTATGGACAATTCGCCGAATTCGCTTGAAGTCTACCAAGCTAAAAAAGTAAAAAAAAATTTTTTTCAAAGATTTTTATTAAATCTGACTTCAAGGCAAAAAAAAAGAAAAGTATTCAATGAATACTCCATAAATCACAATATCCAAACTATACAGTACACAATTATCATTCAGGTTTGTGTCAATGCTATGTCAGCAACACTTATATTCTTCAATGATCGCAGATCGAAACTGCAATTTAGAATTTTGGATGCCTTATTTAAAATTTCAAATGAAATAATCGTATCGATTTGGCGAGTTTTAATAGCTATAATTTTGTGGCAAATTAGTCATTTAATAATCAAATTCGCTGTAAGATCGATAAAACGGTAACCAGATTACCTACAAGGTAGAAGTGCCTTGAAAATATCATTGTTTGATAATACCGATTTCCAAAATTTTTTTTTTTGGTTTGTGTCCAAGTCTTTTGGGGTCACCTTCACCGTATTATTGCTTCTCTAGAGAATTTATTTTCAGTTGCGGCACGGTCGATAGAGTAGACTATTATCGACAGTCCAGCGAGTTCGGCGTCTATCGACCTAGTTTTTAGGTTTATGTCCACGATTTGCTGCAAACATCTATTTTCCCCCCAAAGTGATTTAAGTCGGTCAATTTTGCCGAATTTTGACGCAAAAAAGTCGTCAAATATTTTATAGAACAAACAGCGAATTAAATTTCCATATGCTTAGTAGCCTTGGAAATACACTTCTTGGGACCTCAATGTGCCAAAAAAAAAAAAAAAAAAAGTTTTGTTCGAACGATGTATATCAGTCAAATGTAGGGTCTTTAGTGGACATTATATCGGTCGAACTATATATAGGAGCTACATCTGAACCGAGTTCATTCAAACTTGACACAGGTTCCTATATACAAAATTCTTTTGGATGTGTAAAAATATCGTGCTGGTGGGACAGATCGACGTTTTTCTGTAAGAAATTTACGGTCTATCAGCTAGAGATGCATAGCAGAACTTTCCGGCCGTCAGTCCTGGTTTGGCCACCGTTTGAGGTGCTTCACCGATTTTCACGAAACTTTACACACATCATTCTAGGCTCAATTTAATGCACTATGCAAAATTTCGTGCAAATCGAACGATATATAAGGACATTGGTACACCATTTACATTAAATCGGACGAAAATATATATGGGAGCTATATCTAAATCTGAACCGATTTTCACAAAACTTTACATACATCATTCTAGACTTAGTTCAGTAAGCTATACCAAATTTCGTGCAAGTCGAAAGATATATAGGGGCGTTGGTGCACCATTTACTGAAAATCGTACTAAAATATATATGGGACCTATATATAAAACAAAACCGATTTTCTCGAAACTTAACATACATCATTCTAGTCTTAGTCTAATCTAGTCTTTAGTACGCTATGCCATTTACCTAAAATCGGACAAAAATATATATGGGAGCTATATCTAAATTTGAACCGATTTTCACAAAACTTAACACTCATCATTCTAGACTCAGTACAGTACGCTATGCCAAATTTCGTGCAAATCGAAGGATATAAAGGGACTTTGGTGCACAATTTTCTGAAAATCGGAATAAAATATATATATGGGATATATATCTAATCTGAACCGATTTTCTCAAAACTTAACACACATCATTCTAGATTTAATTGAGTGCTATTTCAAATTTGTTGAAAATCAGAAGATATTTGAGGACTTTGGTACATAATTTAAATA